TGTGTGTTCTTTTGAAGTACAATTTGTTATAGTAATCCTTGGTAGGAATAGGACTTCAAACAGGGTAGATCTATACGGTAATCATTTTATGTTGGATATCAATTGAAGGCCACAATGGAAAAACGATGAGGGTCATACTTTTTCACTTTTGAGTAAACACAATTTTTAGATTTAAAACTCTACAGTTTAGTAAACATTGGTGTGAAATGGTTGAAACTGGTTTATATTGGAAGTTTAAACATATTCTGATGATAGTTTAATTAATACAATGGTATTTGCATTAAAAACTGCCTATTTTAGACATATCGATACCAACAGGGGGCGAGTCTATGATTAGCTTCCCCGAAAAGGTAACTTATGTTATGACCGGGGGCGAATTCTATATCCCCCAGCCGTGAGGGGCGATGAGAAGACATGACTACAGAACTGATGCACGCACTGATAGGACACCGATAATCGCGACTTTGAGTCAAATTGGTCACAGAATTTCATTCATCACCACCAGTTAGTTCAGTCGGTATTATGCTGGACTACCGAGTTTATGACCCTGGTTCAAATTCTCAACGGGGTGTTCTGAAATTGGGCTGTTTTGGGGAGTTTTTAAGGCTCTCCGCTCACTTGGCGAGGTCCTATCAGAGATGTAAGTCAAATAAGGAGGTCCTGCTTCTTAAATAACCTTACAGTATTGAAAGGGGCCTTATACCAACACAAAAGCCGACATTTTCAAATCGATTTGAGCACAAAAAACTAACAAAAACCAAAGCAAAGAAATCTCGAGCTCAAGCGAAGAAACGAAAAGCAAAGGCGTGACTTCGGTTTGCAAGGGGAGATGAGTCTCAGATAGGACCTATTGGCATATTATGTATCTTCTTCGCCCTCTCCCACAACTATTCCATAGCATTAGAATCCCCTAAAGCCTTATTTCTTCCCATACCGGGCATATTTGTTGCCACCATTTCCTAATAAAGTCAATATTTTATTTTTCTTTATCGCCCGTTTTCTCAAAACGCGGTTTTTCTATAATATACTTTAAAAAATAGCTCCAACATTTTTCATCCAATTTTCATGAAATGTTCGGAATGAAGCGAAGATGTAATACTAAAATTTTGTCTGTTGAACTTTTGATATATGGAATATAAAAAAGCACTAACACAAACAAACAATCTATTTCCATGAAAATTAAGACCTGTCAATATAAATCCAATACGGCCGCCGTAGCCATGGAAATGAATTTTTTCCTCTCAAATTTGATTTCGGATTTAAAGACTCCTTATTATGTTTGTCATATATGTGAACTTTGATAACCTTGTAGTATCGAAAGGGGCCTTAAAATAACACAAACGCCGACATTTTCAAATTGATTTGACCAGAAAAGAAAACAAAATTGGCCCAAAGAAATCTCCTAACGACACTTGCTCAAGCGAAGGAACGAACAGCAAAGTTGTGGCAATAGTTTGAAAGGGGAGTTAAGTCTCAGATAGAACCCTAAAAGGTTTTCACCTAATTTGATTTTTTTTTAAAAATACGTCTAAATCAGAAAGAAACCAAAGTGTGTGAACGTCATGCTTTAAAATATTATTATATTTTTGTCCTTTGGGGTAATGAAACTTCTAGGTCATTGGTCGTCACGGAGCAAAAATTTAGTTCTTGATACCCACTTATTTTGACGTCATAATTAATATACCGCATAATATACGATCTGTCACATTTCTGCCATGTCTCAAAATCCCTTTTGGTATAAAACTGGATAATTTTGACTCCATATCCTATATTCACAACAATGGGGGGCTCTAGTGGCTAAGTGGGTAATGAGTACAAGTCAAACAAGTGAGGGTGACACTGGAATCAGATGGATGGTAGCTGGGTTAGGCCCTTGAGCAAGATAGGAAAACACTACTAGCTTAAAAAAATACCAGAGCACTGCACAGTGGCAACCAAAAATGGCATGGTTGGGAAACTGTTCGGTACTGGTGTAATATTGTGTCTGTCTGTCTGTCTGTCTGTCTGTCTGTCTGTCTGTCTGTCTGTCTGTCTGTCTGTCTGTCTGTATGTATGTATGTATGTATGTATGTATGTATGTATGTATGTATGTATGTATGTATGTATGTATGTATGTATGTATGTATGTATGTATGTATGTATGTATGTATGTATGTATGTATGTATGTATGTATGTATGTATGTATGTATGTATGTAGGTAGGTAGGTAGATAGGTAGGTAGGTAGGTAGGTAGGTAGGTAGGTAGGTAGGTAGGTAGGTAGGTAGGTAGGTATTTAACTTTAGTAGAGGTCTTACGGCGCTCACAACTGCATAGAGTCGTATGAGCGCCAAGGGGTGGATGTAAACAGAGAAGTCCAAACAGGGAATCAGGCTTTCTCTGCTCACCTCTCTAGTTTCAACAGCACAAAGTCTGCTTCGACTATCAAGGCACCTCGGAAGTAGAGAGTCACAATAGGGTAACAAACATACAAAGAAAAGTAGAGGAAAATGACGATAGTAAGGATTAGGAAAGAAAAAGCAGCAGTTCCCTGTTGTAGTCCAGGCACAGTTATGAGCATGGCATTGTTGGATCAGCCCATTTACAAATTTACTTTGCATTTGAACGAGAAATGTCCCCCCTTTGGGAATGTCCTAAAGACACTTCAGTCAGTGGCACCGCCCCATGCCTGGTGTGTGTGTGTGTGTGTGTGTGTATGTGTGTGTGTGTGTGTGTGTGTGTGTGTGTGTGTGTGTGTGTGTGTGTGTATACATGTATGTACGTTTGCCATAGGGAACCCAATTACCTTTCTGAGATCTATAAAAATAAAATTTATTTTTAAATTTTTCATTAATTGCTGTTTAAACCTATCTCACGCCTTAACAGGCCTCCACCAACAGAGACAAGGTCTGCCAAGTGTGTACCCAAGAGAACTTGGAGGTGGGCCAGAAAAAGTTCCCACTGGCCTCTAACAACCAGCAGTTCGTCAATTGTAGCAGGGTGGACACCTGTGTGGTTTTGGATTGTGGTGACAACACTCGCTACCTTCCGGTAAGTGATGTTAGACCCAAAGAGGCTATATTATAATACTAGAGGTCACTGCAGTGACGTCACATGTGTCAGACATCGGCAAGACCGGCGTGCCCTCTTTTGCATGAACAATCTGAACCCCACCCCACTTCCCATGCACTCTAGTTTATTAAACACCACCCGCCCCCACAATTTCAGTGCGATATTGTAGGTTTCCTCATAAGACCGCCGAGATGTCTCCAAGTGAGTCTCGAAAAGTACTAACCCGTCTGTTGAACTGCGCATGTCTTGAGTACTAAATATAACCTCTTTGTGTTATTCCCTTCATCACCAGTACATTCTGCAGACTTATACGACAATTTAAAGATAAATTAATAATCAATCATCGGAAATTCAGAAGAGTGTCAGTTCGGAAACGGCCACCAAACAGGGAACCATCTGCCTGCCCAAAGCACGAGTCACTTAAAAAGAAATAGTGGCTAAACCTCGCCAGGGAAACCCAAAACTCTGTGGGGCACTGGAGGACCTGTGGCAAACAGCAGCCTTCGCAAAAGAGACTGGGATGTCAATTTAATAAAAGCTGAACGAGAAGAAGATAAGCAATGCATTTCATATTATTTATCCCCTTGGCAAATTTGTTTTACAATGGCGTACATAAATAAACAAATACAGGGTGATAATAAAACCCCTGTACAACTTTATTTCTGAATATCTCGTACAGAAATTGTTCTAGAATGCTGTAATTTGGAACAGATATAATTCGTTCAAAAGGAATTTGTTTGACATAAAATTTACGAAGAACAAACTTATTTTGAAAACGAACGTCGCTTAATTAAAGAAAAAAAGCACCCAAAAACGCAAAGTTCACCAACTCTTTAAAATATTGTAAATAAGTCTTGAAAAGATTGGTTTACTTTTTTTCCTTTATCATCTCTTTAACATTTAATTTTTTCCAGTTCTGCGACACATAAACACTATTTAATTTCTTTTAGAGAGTTTAAAAAAAGAACAACTAACGATAAATAGATTAAAAGGATAGATAGATAGATAGACAGATAGATGGATAGATAGATAGATAGACAGATATAAAGATAGATAGATAGATAGACAGATAGATAGATAGATATATAGAGAGATAAATAGATAAAGAGAAAGAAAGAGAGAGAGAGAGAGAGAGAGAAAGAGAGAGAGAGAGAGAGAGAGGGGGGGGGGAGATAGTAGTTGGTATTCTGTTTCTATGTATTTAGTATATAATGCATGTTTCAAAGGCTGGTGAGGGCACAATGATTCTTTTCTTAATCTCTTCTAGATTTTTCTCCACAATAATTGAAACCATACTATTTTGAAGGGGGCCGGCCACTTCGAAAATCTCTTGTAGGGCCATCTGGGACTGTTTGGACTGGATGCGCAAATTCCCTGAAGACAGACGAATGAAGCTGAATTATAGGATCACATTCACGTCTACTTCTTGAAATATTAATAAACCTAACCATTTCACCACAGCGGCTATTCTTGTAGAGTTGCATACTAATTTGAATAAAAAAATTGATTGAAAAAGCAAAAAAGAAATGGGATCAAAACGATACAGAAAATAATAATGTGAGGCATTGTAGTGAAATCAGGAACTCGTCAAAATAATAAAATTGAAGAAAACGGAATGTTTCCTATAATTTAGCAATTGTTATCCTTTTTTTATTTTGACCCAACGCTTTTTATTTCCACATCAAAGCATATTGCCATGGAAATTTAACCTATATTGAGGGCATAACATAATATGTAAATGTTCAGTTTTTAAGAACTCTCAAGTTATAGAAGCTACCAAATTTTGGCGGCCATTTTCTCGCTTTCTTCCCCTCTGAGACCAGGCTACCCCCAACTCCTTCAACTGCAAATATATCTATTTCTACTCAAGATAGAAGGGTTTTTTTTCTCAAGATAGAAGGGTTTTTTTTCATAGAAAGCAAGACAAATGTGAGACAGCGTGGTGGAATCAGGTTCTTGTCAAAATAATCAAAGTGAAGAAACCTGCTTTTTTCCGCAGGTTTGTGAATTTTAATCAAATTTTTGTTTTGTCTCAACACCTTTCATGCCCTTTAAAAAACTCATTTCTGGGCGGATATTTCTGAAAAGCGTTGATTAAAGGCACTAAAATGTAAATTTTCAGTTACCACGGACTCTTTTAAGCTAAGGAAATAACTAATCTTTGGCGGCCATTTTCTCACAAATTTTACCTCTGAAAACAGGTGACCCCCACCTCGTTCTTTCGTAAATATCTCGACTTGTATTCAAGTTAAATGTATATTTTTTTCCATCCAAATAAAGACAAGTGAATAAGCTTTAAGTTGATACAAATAACTCCACATGCCCAAAAATTGACGCGGGCCTGATTCCACAACACTGCCTCACAAATAACAATCTTGAAGATGATACCAATAACTCCACATGCCCAAAAATTAACGCGAGCCTGATTCCACCACACTGCCTCACAAATAAACAATCTTGAGGATGATACCAATAACTCCACATGCCCAAAAATTGACGCGAGCCTGATTCCACCACACTGCCTCACATATAACAATCTTGAAGATGATACCAATAACTCCACATGCCCAAAAATTAACGAGTTCCTGATTCCACCACACTGCCTCACAAATAACAATCTTGAGGATGATACCAATAACTCCACATGCCCAAAAATTGACGCGAGCCTGATTCCACCACACTGCCTCACAAATAACAATCTTGAAGATGATACCAATAACTTTACATGCCCAAAAATTAACGAGTTCCTGATTCCACCACGCCGTGGAAAGAAAGCCAGAGAAGATGAGGGCACCACATCACACACAGTGGACCCACTGAGAGCGGCTGGTGTCTCTAGAGGGTCAGGGACTGACAAACAACCTGTATGGAAAGAAAGTGGCTATTCTCACCCGCCGGAAGTTCTCGCAAGATCAACTCCTCCCCTCTTCTCTCTCTCTCTCTCTGTCTCTTTCTGAATACTGTCTATCGGTGTGGACGATCAAATTGACCAAAACAAAGTTAAAAAATGATGTTAAAACACACAAGTAAATTAATTTGGTTGTCTACAAAGATGCTACGGCTATTTAACTTTTCGAATCGAGCCGAACTACGCGGGTCACCCTTTTGTTTTGCCCGCAAAATCTCGCGCTACTCCTCTCTCTCTTTCTCCACTGTACGCTTTTAATAGGCTACAGTTGTAATGAAACGTTTGTTCACGGCACAGAATTCTACAATTTTTCTGTTATCACAGTGTAGAATTCTGTGGTTTAGGGTGAACGCAAAATTTGGTGTACGCGCACCGGGTGAGAATAGCCACAAGACTCGCCTGCACTATTCTCACTCCGGGTGACTCCTACTGTAGAACTGCAAAGTTCTATCTGCTCAGACTCAATTCCTAATTTTGAGAAATTTGAGGTAAAAAATATTAGTTTAACAACAACATCAAGCTTTAAAAAAATGCAATTCTTTAAGTATCTTGATAACGACTCTTATAAATCAGATGGAACATTTAGTTTTGAATCTCATGGTCTTAGTAACTCAAAACGGCCAAACATGTCGGAACTCTATAAATCTACGGTAGCGTGATGACTGGCACGTTCAGCAAGCCAACCCTTTCATGAATCCTGGAGAGGAGGGAGGAACAGCTATGACATTGTACTGATGCAATCGTACCTATTCTCTAAGCAAGTGACCGAGTAAGACGTTTTGATAAGATAACGACGGAAGAAGGAGATAACAAATCTTGAAGCGTCGTTTCCATCTCAATTTTTTTGTTTCAGAATGAGCAGAGATGCTCGGATCCTCCTCATAACACAGGGAACTTTATCCGTGGTTCATTTGCAGCGATGTGGTAAGCTTTCTAGATTGACTGTGTTGATTATTAGGGTTAGAGTGAGATATTATGTTTTTGTATTTTTTTGGGTTTAGATGTAGATGTGTTTTTACGCCCCATCGACACAATTTATTAGATCATTTAGGAGGATAGCTTCCGACCCTGTCTGTCAGGGTCAACCCGGCCTGAGAGGAATACAACATCCCATCAGAAAGACCAAGATACTCGTTGTAAATATTATCCTCACTCGTGAATCGAACTCGGGTCTCCTGCATGCGACAGAGACGGGTCTAACTGCTGCCCCACAGGCGCCGGTCAGGTTTCATTTAAGTAACGAGAAGCAGTACACTGACACGACAACTGGCCTTAAGTGGCGTCGGTGGCCTAGTGGTAAGGCTACTGGACTCGCAATCGTGAAGTTGTGGGCTCGGGGGTTTGAGCCGGGGGCCCGACGTTGTGTCCTTGGGTAAGGCTCAGTACACGAATTTTCCTCACTTCACCCAGGTAGGAATGTGTACCCGGCCATAGACAGAGAAAGATCTTGTCAGTATGTTAGTGTTTTAGCGCCTATAAATGGCTGCTTGCACTGTATGCTTCCCAGGAAGTTGAGGTTGTTTCAGAATGCTCTCAGGTCTGCTGGGGTAGTAGTATAAATTGTTGTGAGGAGCATAGAGCTTGCTGTAGAGCGGGGATGTGCGCTATACAAATGCTATCTATTATTACTATTAAGTGCCTGGGATCATTATACGAATTTTAAGTAATAAATAATGTTGCGGCACCTTTGGGGCAATTAATTCAATATAGGAAGCAGGCTGTCTTGAACCTGCCAGTCAGGATTGAGAGGGATACAACATCCTAGCAGACAGGAGACACTTAATAATAATTTAAGAATTATCCACATACAAGACTCAAAAGCGTGCCTTCTGTGTACGACAATGAAGACCCAAACTGCTACACCACAGGCGTCTGTAAGCGCCAAGGAAGAGCAATACCGCCATAAAGAGACGACAAAGTGAGAGTAGATTTCTTGCCCTGTTGCAAACGCCCACCACTGGAATGCATTATATTATCCAGGAATCCATGTTTTGATTACTTCTAGTAGCCCTTCCAGTAGGACTGAAACTTTATCGTTATAGTTTTTTAAAGCCCGAATCGAAGATATGAAGTCTTGTGATGTAGTTAGCAAAATCTGTAACTTCTTTTTTTGTACGGCCATGCTTAAGTGACCTGCATCTTCCCCTACCTCCAGTTCACATTGAAGCCTCCCCCCTCCCTCATCAACCATCCTAATTCTGTTCTAACACACAGGCACACACATACACACACACATACACCCATACACACTCACATACGCTCTCTCGCTTTCTTTCTCTTTCTCCCTCTCCCCATGTCTCTCACTCTCCTTCACAAACACACCCAGACCCCCCACCCGCCCCCCACACACACACATGTTCATCGCACACACATACACAGACAAACACATTATTTCCTTCCTTTTGTGCTTTCTTCCTACCTAACAAAATACCCAACCACCTACCTACCTATCGGTCTACAAGCTTACATGCAAACAAATATAAATACGCACATCCATCCATCCATCCATCCATCCTTCCATCCATCCATGCATCCACCCATCCAGCTGTCCATCCATCAATCCACCCATCCACCCATCCATTCATCCATCCATCCATCCATCCATACATACATCCATCCATCCATCCATCCATCCATCCATCCATCTATCCAAACACTGGCACGCTGTTGTCTTAGTTGGCATCATCTTGATATTTTCTTTGTAAGGAAGGAATGAGGTTGGGGTAGTAAGAATATGGCTGGGGATAGGGGTGGGAGTTACCATTTTACTTATTTGTGACATTCTTTGTTTTAATTTTCAGTAAACAAGATACTTTATGACAACCTGCTAATGCCACGTTTTATCCATTTTTTCCCAACAGGATTATCTACCTTGTCCACAATATTATCTAAACCGCAGGTAAACCTTATTGGATTTTCCCTTTTTGGTTTTATTTGGAGGGAATCAAAAGACAAAAAAAGAAAGAAAAAAAAGGATGGAGGGGTAGCTTTTCTAAAAAAAAAAAGAGGGATGGGGTGCGGTGAAAGGCGTTTACAAGACGCTAGGCCTAACGTAGAATTACAACGTTCTAATTGTTCTTACCTTGTTTTGAAAAATTCGACGACAAGCATTTGGAGTTTCACAATACGTCAAGATTTTCCGAATGCAGTTCTTGGAATATCTCGATTACGACGCCTTATAATTGATTGATTTTGGCTTTTTGCCTTAGAGTCTCAGCAACTCAAAACGGCCAAAAATGCTTTTGTTTACGTTATGCTATCTGCTCTTAAAAGCTAAATTTCAATGATTTACTTTTAGATCATTTTCTTCATTATGGTGTCCCAGAAATGTATATTGTTTTCGTTTTTAATCAAGCTCTAATTATTTCGTATACAATGAACACTATTTCGGAAATAATTTGTTCATTTTCCTTTTCTCTAAAGTCCAAAGTTCCAACTTAGAAAAAAAGGAAGCTTCGTTATTATTCATGTTTTAAACAATTTCGCAATGCTTTATAATAATAATATCAAGTTTCAAAGAGCTATGTTATCCTGAATGCTTTTTATTTCATTTTATCTACGTATTTCTTTTCACACAACCAACACTAATTATTGTTTTAAAAAGTTATTCATGTACAACTGTCTGCTTTTACCAGGAGTATATTTATTTTCAACAAGTATCTTTTTAAAATTCCTTACCATTGTACCACAGATTTCTAATTGTCATACTATATACCATACTTTTGTGATTATATTTAGTGCATAATTTGCAAACAGTCTTTGTCGTGTTACCTGTTTTACATATCGTTTACATTTCTGTCTGTTGACTTAATCTGTTGATATAGAACACAGTAGTCAAATTCAAGGCCCAAAGGCCACATACAACCCCTCGAACAATTAATTTTATGTGGCCCCTTAGAGACTGGTTGCCAAGAAAAAGTGCCAAACATCAGCTCTTACAAATTGGCGTTAGAACGAATATTGGTTTGCTTTAGTATTGTGTTATTGTTGTAACTTTTGTCTCTTTTGTTTTATAATAAAATTATTGTTAAATAGATGGTTAGTTTGTCATTGCTCATTCAATCTTTACCCTCGTTGGCCTGAAAACTTAAGTGTGCATGACCCCCCCCCCGCCCCCAATCTAGGTGATTGAGTTTGGAACCCCAGAACTAGTCCTAGATTTTTCGAAAGATCAGATTTTGAGTTTTAAGATAACAGTTTTGTTACATTCCACAATGCATTTTACATGTAAGCACTTCTCGGTTTCCTGAAGAAGAAATGAAACGTGTTTATAAAAGAATGGTGCTCGACGATTGAAATATCTAAAACGTTGTTCTCTCATAAAGCTTTGTTATCTTATTTTGTTTTAGTTTTTTTCTTCACAAGTGTGTTTTTTTCTGAATCTTTTAAAACAAATCACGTATATTTTCCTCTCCTGAAATAAAAGAAAAACTGTTTCAGATGCTGTGTCTATCTACCTTGTTAGAAATACATGCAATTTTTAGATAATTTGAATATTTAGTTAGTTTCTATTGTGTTGTCAATGAAAATATATACTATTCGGCATCAGCTCAATTATGTTCTGTTTATTGTTGATTTTTCTTACTTAATGTCCTCAATATATAAATAATTTTAAATAATACTCGCAACAGTACTTACAACCTTTTGCTGACTACTATTCGAAATAAACAAACGTATGTTATGTTCATGCATATTTCCTCTTTTGTTTTATTCATTTTGTTTTTTATATCTTTTTCAAAACTATTGTTCTCTTTAAGCCTTTTTTTTGCTTATTATATTCAGATTTATTATTTCATAAGCGTGTGTTTTTTTAATTCTCATTCGTTTAAAACAAATCGTGTATTTTTTTCTCTTCTGGAACCAAAGGAAAACTGTTTAAGATGCTGTTGGGTTTATTTTTTTATCTTATTAAAAGAGATATGCAATTTTAGATAGTCTGAATACGTATCAAGTTTCCATTGAGTTGGCAATGAAAGTATATATATACTATTCAGTATCGGCTCAATCAAGTTCTGTTTATTATTGTATTTTCGTACTTAATGTCCTCGATATGTGAATAATAACTAAAGTGGTATATTTAAATAATACTCGGATTTTACAGTCTTTTGCACACTACTATTCGATATTAACAAACGCATATTGTGTCCATGCGTATTTCCTCTTTTGGTTTATTCATTTTGTTTTTATCTTTTTATTCTATAAGTATCTGGTGGTTTCTTTTCATCTTTTTAACATGGAAAGCATATTTGTGTTTTAAAACTATATTTTTTTACAGTCTGAAATCCCGCGTGTATTCTAATAATAAAGTAGTCTAGCCGCCAGCTTCCTCTCCCCTCTTCTGAAACAAAAGTAAAACTGCCCGTACTTTGAAATTTACGATGTTGCTGGTAATGTTGACTGTCCTATTAAAGCTTCCATTACTCAAATCCTTTTTTTCTGTCTAATTTTGCAAACTTCTAACCCATCTTGATACTTTCAATAACGTTTCTTTTTAGAAAGATTTTGCGAAAAATTTCAGATTAAATGATTAGTTTTGTGAGGTCTTTAAACATGTACAGTGGGGACTCTCGTGACCTAGAGGTCAAAGTGTTCACCTCTCATTCAATAGGTCGTTGGTTCGAGTCGGATATCGATGGAAAATTTTCTTCTCTAAAATTTTCTTCTTTCACATCCTTTCCTGCCCTCGAACTATGTTAGGGGGTCTCTCGTGGTCTAGAGGTCAATGAGTTCGCCTCTCATTCAAGAGGTCCCGTGTTTGAATCCGGATAGCGACGGAAATTTTCCTTCTCTAAATTTGTCTCCTTTCACCCCCTTTGAGGCTCTCTAGAAATGTTCTATCGTCTGCTTTTGTCTCCATTTTCTGACCCCACCCCCTCACCTTGTTTGTCCCTTCCTCTGGGCTTTCTACTGCTACTCCTTGGCACCTTCTTACTGCTGTCTTTCATCCCCACCCCTGAAGTTATGGTAGGAAAGATTTACACATAGGCTTCTCGGACAAGGGGTGTGGGGCGCACGTTAAAGATCTCTTGGTAGTCCAAAATCGATAAGAGTAGGCTTCGGCCGCTACCCCGGCTAAATTCCAAATTTCCTAATAAACAGAAAAATGTAATGTGTCCCGTGCGCTCATATGACATTATGCAGTTCCGAGCGCCGTAAACACATGCAAAAAAGAAAAAAAAAGAAAAGCAAAACCTGTACAGTTTCGCAATTTCGAGGTGAAGTCGGCAGTGCAGGTTCCTGTGGCGTTAGTGTTTTCACTTTTGGCCTTGCTGCAAGGATCTCACTGTATTACCTCCTTGTCATGAAGGACTAATTCTTTCGTTTAGTTCCTTCGCTAGGGGTATAATGTCTGAACACATGAAATGAAACCTGCACTAACGGTCACCTGCCCAAAACAGTCAGCTGTACAACCGTCTACTTTCAGTTTTCCTCTTTCCATTTTGTTTTATATAATGACACTGTCCGAGACGTCTACCTGTCTACATGAGATAAAACTACCTGCTCCTCAACAATGAGACTAAACTACTTACTCCTCAACAATGAAACAAAACTACCTGCTCCTCAAAAATGAGACAACACTACCTGCTCCTCAACAATGAGACAAAACTACTTGCTCCTCAACAATGAGACAAAACTACTTGCTCCTCAACAATGAGACAAAACCACTTGCTCCTCAACAATGAGACAAAACTACTTGCTCCTCAATAATGAGACAAAACTACTTGCTCCTCAACAATGAGACAAACGACATGCTCCTCAACAAACGGTAGCGAAAGAGAGAGAGAGAGAGAGAGAGAGAGAGAGAGAGAGAGAGAGAGGGGGGGGGAGAGAGAGAAAGAGAGAGAGAGACGAGCGATATATATATATATATATATATATATATATATATATATATATATATATATATATATATATATATATATATATATAATGTACCTATTCTTGTACGTAACACGCACAAACAGAAATTACAATATGTATATCGAGAAAGACAGACAGAACATCATCATCATCAAGTGCCACATCTGCGACAGACGTCGGCGTTCACGATTCTCCATTCATTTCTTTGCTCAGATACCCTAAAAAGCTACACTACCTTGATTTTTCCACGACACCCGTCTGTTTAGGTTCTCCAAGTTGGTTGCTCAGGCTCAGTCTCTGCTTCGTTTTCCTTCAATTTGACCAGTGAGTGCTTGAAGTTCAAGGCCTTTATAATAATAATATGTCTATCCGAGTGTCTCAGATACTGTATTTGTCTTTTCCTGGTCGGTATATACAGACATACATACTCGATAAAACTCTTCCTTACCGCTCTGTGTAAAATATCCAATATCCGAACCACTACATCACAGACTTCAGTCTTGTCATGTCTTGGTGTCATGTTGACGGACACTTCCAATCCTCATTCCAGGTGCCCATTAGCACGATCGGGTCGGGTTGGGTCGGTTTGCTACCCTGATTAATGGTGCAAAGCGGGTATCGTGGCACAAACCGATCGCAAGACTCGTCTCATTGTTGAGGAGCAGGTAGTTTTGTCTCATTGTTGAGGAGCAGGTAGTTTTGGGTCAGGCGATCGATCCAACCCGACCCGCAATGGGCACCCGGTATAAGAGGGCATCCCATGAGCGTTTTACAGGTTTATAGCCTGAGGCGTTTGTAGATTTGAAAGTTCTATAACCACAATAAGTGGTTGGATGTGCTCATGGTTCAGTGGGTATCAAGCTGGATGAAGGTGCCAATGGCACTTTGTTTAGTACCCGGATGGATTTCTTTTTTAATTGTGCTGTTTGTATTTTTTCTAAGATTTTCTGGACAATAGGCTTCTCTTATCCGAAAAGGACGCTACATTTCGTGCCCCCACCTTCTTACTAACAAGAGAGTTGCGCAACTCAGATAATTTAGGAGGTGGGTTGCTTTGATCCTGCCTTTCAGGGCCAACACAGGCTGAGAGCGATACAACGTTTCAGCACAAGGACGGATATTTTGCTCGATTCTCCCCCCCCCCACTCACTAGAATCGAACTTACGTATTCAGTATGCAAGGATAAGACTACTAAGTGCAAAGATCATAACATTTACACCACAGACGCCGTTTGAGAAAATGTTTTCAAAGCCATATAAGCCATGTCATATTATATAATTTAATGCCTGTTTGATTAAGAAAATCCGATTCATGCTTGAGTGGGATCTGCTGTTGACGTAAAGGACGACACGTAACTTTTTGTGATACCAGCGCCCAAAGTAGACATTTTAGTCAACATCTACTGGACGGTAGTTGATCTGTTTTGAAAGTGGACCAATTTTCCTCCATGTACCACATTAGCGCAATTGGATCCGATCCTCAAGACCGAGAGAAATAGACGATATTCGCAGCAAATCAGCCTGTTGGACGACTGTTCCTTGTTTCTTGACATTGCTTGGTCAGAATAAAGTTTTGTTTGCTCACAATTGCAACCATGGTCATCAATGTCAAATTTGATGACACAGAGTTCTATTTATTGATCTAGTGAGCTCTTGGCAACGCCGTTTTCCGAACTCACACGATCTGAAAGGATCATGCAGATTGGATCGTAAAATATGTTTTTTTCTTTTTGTTAAACGGGCACATCAGTGGCTTTTAAGATGTAATGATGCAAAACCAAATCGAGTTCAAACCTGCGTTGACGCTGCTTCCTGATTTAAAACGCAGTCAGTCGTATTACTTTTCGTTTTAATAGCTCTAGCTAAGCTAGGAACTTCTGGAGAATGCTGCCCAAAAGTCGAAACTGGCGTATAAGACAGCACAATAAATGAGATCAATAGATACCAAAAAAAATTGAGAAACAAAACTGTTCATAATCTTTTCTAAATAATACAGTACATTATTAACAATGTATACGTAAAACAGTGTTTTTCTGTATCGCAGACATACGTGTAAAAGTATTAAAACAAAAGAGGAAATACTCACAGGTATAATAAACATATTTATTGAGTTCCTGTAATAGTCAGCGAAAGGTTATAAAGTATTGTGGAATGGAGATATTCCACGTGGCGTCACTAGCCCAGTGGCTACAGGACCCGTAATCCTGAGATCGCACGTTCGGAGTTCGAGCCTCAGCTCGATCTGACGCTGTGTGTCCTTTGGAAAAGCACTTTACACGAATTTCCCACTTGGCTCGGACATAGAGTAAGAAAAAGCAGCAATAAACAGAAGTTAATTTTTGAGCTTATACCGAACGTTACGTATTTTCATGTTCAACACAATGAAAGCTGAGTGAGTATTCGGATTATTTTTAATGCATGTATTTTAAATAAAGAAGAAAATACAAGTGGCAATATTATAAATTACGAAATAGTTTTGCTTTTGTTCCACAAAAGGAGAGAGGACGTTGGCAGTTAAACTAGTTTTTGGGGATACACACGAGTTATAAGACTGTAAAAAAAGGAGGAAAATAAAACGTGCGCTTAATTTCGAAGAATGGGAAAAAAGGAGACACTTACAAAAGAAAACTATACAAAAACAAAATTACTAACCAAACAGAAGAAGAAACAAGCATGGATACATACATTTAGCAGTACAGACAACATTACGAGCAACATTGTAGATTTCAAAGTACGAGCAGTTTTGCCTATGTTTCAGAAGAGGTGAGAGGAAGCTGGTGGCTAGACTACTGTATTAGAATACTTTTTAAAAAATTAAAAAGAAAATGTGCTTTCCATTTAAAAAGATTAAAAGTAACCACCAGATACGTATAGAATAAAAAGATAAAACAAGATGGATAAAACAAAAGAGGAAATACGCATGGACATAATATACGTTTGTTAATATGGAATAATAGTCAGCAAAGGAATCGTACGATCCGAGTGTTATTTGAAATATACCAGATTAATCATTATTCACATATCGAGGACATTTATAGTACGAAAAAGCAACAATGAACAGAATTTGATTGAGCTGATACCGAATAGTATGTATTTCCTTTGTGAACACCAGGGAAACTAAATAAATATTCGGATTTTCAACAAATTACATCTATTTTTTAATAAGGTAGAACAATAGAACAAGCAGCATCTTAAACAGTTTTTCTTTTGTTTCAGTAGAGTGGAAAAAAACGATTTGTTTTAAAAGAATTAGGAAAAAAAACATACACTAATGAAATAAGAAATAAAAATATAATTATAAAAAAAGGCTTATAAGAGAACAGTTTTTAAAAACTGTTTCAGCCGTTGAGCATCTTTTATAAACCCATATCAAAATTTCTTCTTCAGGAAGTTGAGAAGAGGTAACAAGTAAACTGCAATATGGAGTCCAACAAAGTGTACCGCGGTAATTCTAAAACTCAAAACCGGATCTTTAGAAAAATCTAGGTCTAGATTAGGGGTACCAAACTCAGTCACTCAGGGGGTGGGGGTTGGGGGGTGTTATACTTAAAGTGCACGTAAGGTTTCCGGCCGATGTGGATAAACATTGATTGCGGAATCGAAATATAACACTATTTTAAAGAATGATTTATCATGAAATGAAACTGTAGTATACTAACACAACATTAAAGCAAACCATGAATATTCGTTCTTTATGCTAATTTGGCAGAACTGGATGTTTGGCACCTTTTCTTGGCAACAATTTTGTTTTGTTTGGAGTCAGGTTCTGCATTCTCAACATGGACTTCCTAAAATGTTTTAAGGGGCCAGATATAATACATTGTTTGACCCGCTGTATGCGGCCTCTGGGCCTTTAATTTGACAAATGTAGTGTAGATCAACGGATCAAGTCAAAAGACAGAAATATTAACGAAATATAAAGCGGGTAACACGACGAAAACTGTTTGCAAATTATGCACAGAAATATAATCACATAAGTATGGTAAATAGTATGACGTTTAGATATCTGTGGTGCAATGGTAGAACTTTTAGCAGTTAAATGCAGAGGTCTTTAAGTTCGGTTTTCGAGAGAGTGTGTGTTTATGGAGTGTGGGAGGGGGGAGATGGGGCGTTATTGTATCACGTTCTGTCTGCTCTGAGAGGCTGTAGCACATTCAGACTTATCTGAACCCAGCAACAGGACTGGTCAGTCGTTCACATCAGCTACAGCAACATCAGGTTACAGAACGGAATGGAATGCTATTGTGTAATGCAGCACACCTCCTCCCTAAAACAGAACTAAAAACTGGGCAGTGTTTAAAATGAAGAAAAGGTGAAAGCTAGAAAAACAGAGAGAGAAAGAGAGTGAGTGAGAGAGAGAGAGAGAGAGAGAGAGAGAGAGAGAGAGAGAGAGAGAGAGAGGAATAATTCAAAAATTGAAGTGTATCTTTGATACAATCAATACGATATGGTAATTGAAAGCTGTCCCTGTAATGCAGGATAGGCTTTGGATTCTTTTTTTGGGGAGGCAGGTTGTGCAAAGGTACATTTATAATAAAAACTGATTATAAAAATGCAAAGTTATCATAGACATTTACACAGAACTGGAACATGGCGTTCATATCAAACTTTAGAAATTTAACGTTTTCATATCATCACGGCGTCCTCAAGGTAAATGTTCTTTCGAAATTATTCATATCAAATTCCTTATTTTTATTAAATACAACAGATTGCAGCAATGCAGTTGCAGGCTGCGTACAATAACTAAAACATGGATTTCCTGTATATTGTATAATCTTACATCAGTAGGTCTGTAGTCTTTTGTAAGTGGAATAAAAATATACTGGTTGTAAGTAAATTATTACACTTGGTAAAAGCAGTCAGTTGTACATGAGTAACATTTTTCAACAAGAACAAGCATTGGTGGCAGGAAGAAAAATAAACAGATAAATTGAAATAAAATGCATTCAGGACAACATTGCATTTTTAAACGTGGTTAAGTTATTAGAAAGCATTTCACAATTGTTAAAAAACAAGAATAACAACGCAGCTTTTAAAATAAAATTTCGGACATGGTTTGGACTTAGAAAAAAAAGGGAACTTTGGACAATTAGAGAAAAGGAAAGCCAGCAAATAATTTCCGTAATACTGTTCATTGTGCACATAACATTTAAATATGGCTTGATTTAACAAAGAAAAAACAAACAAACAAAAAAACCTCTAGGACACCAACATGTAGAAAGTGATCTAAATGTAAATCGTTGAACGTTAACTTTTAATAGCAGATATCTCCATGTAAAGAAAAGCTATTGTCTCTTCGCTACTTAAGAATTACGAAGTTCTATCGGACTTTTTTGGCCGTTTTGAGTTACTAAGACTCTAAGGTCGAAAATAAAAGTTCTATAATCTGCCCTACCAAAATCGTATGATTATTAGGAGTCGTTATCAAGATATTCAAAGAATTTTAGTCGAAAAATCTTGGTAGTGAAACTTTAAAAATATGCTTTACGTCATAATTTTCAAAACAACGCAAAGAGCAGTGAGACAGTTGCCATTCTAAGGTAGAGTTTTGTAAACGCCCTCCAACCCACCCTATCCTTCTTTTTAAATATTTTTTTAAAAGAAAAGCTACCCCTCCTCCTTTTTTTATTTTGTTGGGGGGGGGGGGGGGGTCCCAAAACAAAACAAAAAGGGAGAATCCAATAACGTTTACTAGCTGTCTAGATAATATTCTGGACAAAGTAGATAATCCTGTGGGGGAAAATGGATAAAACGTGGCATTAGCAGGTTGTCATAAAGTATCTTGTTTACTGAAAATTAAAACAAAGAATGTCACAAATAAGTAAAGTGGTAACTCACACGCCTACCCCCAACCCCATCCTTACTAGAACGATCCCATCTCATCCTGACAAATAGAGAAAATATCAAGATAATGCTAACAGCGGACCTGTGTTTGGATGGATGGATGTATGGATGGATGGATGGATGGATGGATCTTCGTATTTTTATGTGTATGTATGTTTGCTGGTAGGTAAATAGGTAGATATGTAGGTGATTAGGTAGGTAGGAGGTTAGGTCGTTAGGAAAGTTGTTCGGTGGGAAGAAAGGAAGCACAAAAGGAAGGAAAGAGTGTGATTGTTTGTGTATGGGTGTGCTTGTATGCATGTGTGTGTATTTGTATGTGTATGTGCGTGTGCATGTGAATGTGAAAGCGAGAGAGAGAGAGAGAGAGAGAGAGAGAGAGAGAGAGAGAGAGAGAGAGAGAGAGAGAACTCGATGTACTGGAAGTTAAGGTCACATAAGCATGACATTACCCCCAAAAATGGTACAGATTGTGCTAACAATATTACACTAAAGACTTCATGTACTCGATTCTGACTTTATAAAACTATCACTAAAAAGTCTCTTTCTGGCGTTTGGGAGAGCGGGCCAGTGCGACTGTAATCAAAACATGTATTCCTGAATGTATTACACTGTTAGTAGGTAGACTTTTGTAAAAGAACAGAAAATTTACTTTCACTTTATTTAGTTGGGTCAAAAACAATAGTTCCGTGACCGTGGGCTCCGGGAGTTCGTTTTTAACATGTTTTACCATCTTCAAGGTCTAAGTAAGAAAATTAGCCCCCATGCCTCTTTTTAAAATATGGGCGTTACCCATGAGGCCTTGAAATCCAAGATGGCCGCCAAACGGCAAAAATTGATATTACTCATTGTCTTTTTCCAACACATATGAAGTGTGATACATTACTTATGAGGTTTTTTAGGTCAAGAAGTTCAATTTTGGTGTCATTTTTAGCCTTTCGTAAAATATAAGTGCAAAAAATCCAATATATGGCTGCCATCGTCCGAAAGGAAAATGAGAAAAACATTGATATCACAAATAGTAACTTAAGGTTCACAAATTAAGGGTATTTAATGATCTAGGAGAATTCTTTTTTTGTATCATTTCATATTTTTAGTATTTAACAAGCTGAGTAAATCCAGTTTGGCCGCTCATCGAATATATCAACACATACAGCACCCGCAGTATGGGAGCCTTGTCTATACTTTTTGTTTAGGTAAAAACCTGTGACCATTTTTCCATGACACTATAGCTCAGGATTCACTGTGTAGATCTGATGTAGCAGCATTTTAGAACCGATGCAACCCGCAAAAAAATCGCCGTTAGGGGATAATGTGCAGTTTAGACATTCAGAAGATAATCTTACATAGTTAGAACGAACATTAATCTAAAGGTCAATAACCTGTTTAGTCTTTACTCTCGTCTTTATCTTGATCAGTTTGGTTTGCAAGCTTGCTACGTTCATTATTGCTAGTATGAATGGAGGCTGTGGTATTAAAGCTATCCAAAAGAGACAGTTGTTGGGGTATCACAGGAAGACTAGGGCGAACTTGCCTGCATTGCCTGTTCTACAGTTGCAATCCATGCATGGATAGGGATGGCCTAACATGACTGAGCATAGCGGGTATCCCTTCAGCAATGACGCCAGAATAGTCCACAGATCTGTAAGCCGCTTGAAGTATTTGTGGTGAACATAATATGTGACAAACGTGATCGAATGCAGATGTCATATTGACTACATTGGCTACTCTTCAGCGTCTGTCAGATGGCATACGTTAACATTTTAATCCAGTGAGTCTGACATCTCCAGTTGACACCTGAAACTTTTCCACGCCTGTGTCAGGCTGTTCGTACACTTGCTTGGCTAGTTCCTCTTTTCCAACATTCTCCCAAGCTGCATTGTAGCCACCAATACGAGTTCTTGGGGTGCATTGGAAACATTTAGGTTGTCCTTTACATTGAAAGATTTCTGCTTCCTAAGATGATGAATCTGTCAAGGACAAGAGCTTCTCTCAACAAATGAATACACCCAACACCATCTCCCATTATGTTTCCCTAGGAAACCTTGGTATACAGTTCAGGCTGTAACCACGAAAGTCAGCTAACCCAGTTCCTTTAAAGAGTTTGAAAGAAGCATATTCGTATGCCATTTAAAAAAATGAAAAGCCCCCCCCCCCAAAAAAAAAATAAAAATAAAATAAAATAAAATAAAATAAATAAAATAAAATAAAAATAAAATAAAATAAATAAATAAATAAATAAATAGATAAATTTAAAAATAAATAAATATTGGAACGATATCCTTAAATAGAGTATGGTTTTCCTCTTTGATTTCGACAAGGTATTTGTCTGTTAAGCTTGAAGCTAACCATAAAGGCAAAAAGTATGGATTTTCTTGCACTGACCGCGAAATATTTTTATGACATCATGCAGAACAGACTTACTTGATGGCTCAAGGTATGTTGCATGAATATATAATTAACTTTTCTTGAGAGGAGGCTGAGAGCCTACTTGAACCCCATCGTGTGAAGGAACTTGTTGTTCGTCTGAGTGAGATCTGTTGTCATCATTGTCTGCACGCGATAAGACCTGTACTGCAGTCCGGAGTCCGTGGCATTGAGGAACTTCCGGATAAACTACTGGTTCACTGTTACTTCCATTTGGACATTAAGATCGTTTAATCTTCAACTTTTCAGTGAATAGGTTTTTCAATATTACTAGTATCTTGGTTATCATAATTTGTTTCACTGGCTTCTTAAAACTGTAGGTAAATTTTGTATAATGAGCCCAAGTCACATCACCTCATGATGCATCGGCTTTGAATAGAGCTAATCCTTATCAAAGATGACATTAGCAATTTGGCAATTTCTTGTTGAAAAGTAAAAAAAGTTTTCATATCCTGCAAATCCACACAGTCCAGGTGCTGGTATATGTATCGGCATCACTTTTGAGAAGAGTATCGGCCAAATTTCTGCTCCTTT